AAATGCCTGCACCAAGTCAGGAATATAACAGTTGTTTTCCATTCGTTTGATGTGTTAGAGCTTTTGGTTTTGCCATTTGATAAGGAACTTTCCGTTTTGAATTTTCCTTGGAGTCCGGTATTATTGTTATTTTACTTTTTATTATATATCTGGTGTTTTTTCTTGATATCTAATTTTTAGAGGGTGCATATTTCTTCGTCCTTATTCTTCTATTGTAATACTATGTGTGTGTGTGTGTGTATATGTGTGTGTGCTTTAATTATATAGAAAGGTATACATGTATATAGTTATTACAATTTTTTGAATGCTATTAGTTTGATTGGAGCGTTATTCTTATAGTTTTTTTCATTTTGGGTTTAATGTTTAAAACTCAGAACATGAAAATGTTATGTTGCTAATACATAGAAGTAGCAACAATGCTTGATTTGTTTATTTATCACTAGAACACACCCGCGACATCGCGGGTCCGTGACTGAATTAGAGTACCTATGCCTTGTTTTTAGCCTGGATTTTTAGTATTCGTATTGTCATTTGATAAAGTCATGCTGATTATATTAAGGTGCTTAGTTTTCTTTGCTTTCAAAATTTTCCTGTTTGAACCCGTCCTGATTTTCTCACTACAATATAGTAGTGGTACTCCAGATAGTATAGGGAGGAATAAGAAGAACTACAAGCGGAAACTACATGTGACATATACTATTGGTATCGGTATCGGATTCGACCCGGAACTTGTTAATTATTGGCAATATTAATTATGTGGAAAACAAAAGGGCCTGGAATGGTATAATTATTAATCAACACTATTGTCCTATATTAGTTATATATAAAGTTGAATTCTTTGATTCGTCGTTTTTACGTCATGCCGGCTAACAAATTGGACCTTGTTATTTTAGTAGTATAGATTTCGATTTAACCATTGTAAATATAAAAATAAGAAGATGTGGTATATTTGCCAATGAGACAACTCTCCGCCAGAGACCAAATGACATAGAAATTAACAACTATAGGTCACCGTACGGCCTTCAACAATGAGCAAAACCCTTACCGCATAGTCAGCTATAAAAGACCCCAAAATGACAAATGTAAAACAATTCAAACGAGAAAACTAACGGCCTGATTTATGTAAAAAAACAACGAACAAAATACAATATGATATACAGTAACCCGGGACAGTGGTGTAACAGTACAACATATGAACAAACTATAAAAATCAGTTGAAAAGGGCTTAACTCATCAGATCGATACAAAGCAGAAAAACAAGTGACAAAAACACAGACCGGATGTGGCAGGGTATATATACATCCCTACAACAAAAAAGACACTAAGTACATATCTGAGAGTACTTGCAGTTACTGACAGTTAGTTCAAAGCCAGTTTGTTAAAGTTTGACATATACATTTATTTTTAGTACCGTGTCGGCTATTTTTTGGAAACCCTTCTTTATTGTAGGCATGGTTTATGCTGGCCCGTGGCACAAATACATGATGGACTGGGATAATGTCATTAGGAATAATTCAAAATTAGATGTATTAGTTGTCAACTATGAAGACCTCAAAATGGCAAGATAAATTCTCAATATGTTTAGTGACCCCTTTAACCTATCACGTATAGTTTTCGGCGTTGGAAGCTTCTGACTTGAATATATCTTGAGCGACGTCATATAAATCAGATGGACTTATCTAATTACACAAGAGGTATACTCGGTTCAGGTTTTGAGTTGCAATTCGATATATTTCTCTGGGAAAATTACATTTCAATCTATATAATACTGAGCATATTATATAGTATGCTGTGATGTGACAATAGTTGCATATCTATATGAGTTACATTATGGTAGATCTACTTTTGGCTTGATTGCAAATTAGACTAGATACAAGGAATATTTTTCTGAAAGGGGTTTAAAAAAGAGATTGAAGTATTTTGATTTTTCAGAAAAACTGCCCTCGCTTAAAATGGCGTTCTTTTCTGATCTTTCTAAAGTAAAGGTGCTTAATTACAATTTGAGTTTACATCAGTTAGAAACAACCCTAGATCGTATGTATCACCTGAAGCGCAAAACTATCCTGCTGTCGGTTATCATCAATGAATCAGGAACTGATTATCCTTTTACTTTGTAGATATGTATATGTTATTCAATTGTTAGTCTTCTGCTTTTGATGATTAGTGTGTATTCCTCAAAAGCAGGAGACAACTAACATAATAATAGTTATCTGAATCTTGCTCGTTTCTTTTTCTCGGTCTATTTCCCTCTTTACTACCTTGAACAAGATAAATAAATTATAACAAAGAGATGCAACATACGTGAGAAAGAGAAATAGCGCCTTTGTCATATAATCCAATGTCGATTCATTCATTACCCTTTATTTCGATATTTTATTTCAGAATCCACTGAAGGAAATTGAAAGGCTTGCAGAATACTTAGATATTAAAAATAGCACCGATTTCTACAGTCAAGTAGCAGATAGGTGTAGGTTCAACCAGTTGAAAGACGACTACAAGAACAGAAATCATCCTTTTAGAGAGGTTATATTTAGGAAAGGTAAAACTCTGATGACATAACACCAATTCCAAAACACGAGTCAGTAAATTCCATATGGGGTGAGAGCGAGCGAATTTATCTTACCGACTATCTGATATCGGGAATTTAGACGTAGTTGTACAAAAATTATATATATTAACAAATACAGCTAACGCGGAAGCGCTTCATACTTACAATGTGCGCACGAACAACGCTTTTACAACTGAATAAAATTACAAATAAGAAGCATTCAATTCTATATAATTACATGTATTTGCTACAACCATAAAATAACGAGATATATCAAGCTTTTCGTTTGTTTTCCTAAACATCGTCATCATGTTGTATTGGGAAGCATGTGCAGTTAAGAATGTTGCATTTTATTGAGAAATGAAATACAATTTGGGGTTATCAGCCTATCAAAAGTACAGATTCTTATGAAACATACATGTAATGTAATTATTAATGTTTATTTTAATTGCTTGCAATACGTCAATATTATTTTATCAATACATTGTTACTAATTATTTCAGTCCTATCATCATGAACAGTTGAATTCTGGTTACACTTTGTCCTGAAATCGTTAACAATTTTTATATCCAGTCCATTTACATGGTTTAAAAGACGATCGACAATATGCATAATTCCACGCGACTTTTTTCTTCACGCATTGGTTTCATACATCATGGGTTTCGTAGGTAAAACGAATCTATGGAGAAAATCGAAATAGCTGCTTCGAAATTACAATCGAGAACGAGCTCGGAGCAGATTCTAAAGTAGCCGATGTCAATTAAATTCGATATTAATATTATGTCAGGTGACTAAATTGACCACAGAACCTGAAAAACATAATAAGCATGTAGTCTATTCATAGTATCATGTATTTAGGTGAAGTGTATGCTTATAACATATGTTTATAAGTATCAAACTTATAACTACGTTTCAGGTGATGTTGGAGATTGGAAGAATTGGTTTACAGTGGCACAAAATGAAGAATTTGATAAACACCTTACCGAAAAATTAACAAATTCGTCATGGACATTTAAGTACAGTGCCAAAGAATAAAATTTAGTTATCTAACTATAATTTGTTTTTTTTTTGTGCTTTCTTAAAATAAATGAAGTAAGTATGAAATATGCAAATAAACCCAGTTGTCTGTCGTCAGTATTTCTCTGTGTCGTTTCATTTGGTAACCTGTTAGGGCTAATTTGACGGATGCCACATGAGGAGAACCTATATATGAGTCTGTATATCCATTTTGGTATCTTCAGTCTCTCTTTCAAAGAGGAGGCGCAGACAACTTCTGACTAGATGTAAAAAAGGGCTATCGGACTTTTCAACAAACAAACAAAAAAGAATCATAGGTCAAAAACAAAACAAAAATAAATCCCTATATATAACACAAGTCTCTGAAACGTTGGCTTAAACCTAATTGATAACAGAAGGAAGTGAAATGTTTCTTTTCGCGTGAACCTGTTTCAAAGTTCCTTTATGCACACTATGCAATACGTCAGAGTTAGTTCACCGGGACAGACCAGAATACGTAAATTTATTAAAAACAAGATGTTTTCTTATTTGTGTCAATCTGCACATGTTTCATAGCTCGCTCGAGCTCAACAATATGTACTTAACAGAGATATAACAGACCATAAAAAGAATACATATAAGCCTCAAACTCATTATTGTTGATTTTTAAATTACCGATTTTAATGAGCGCTGCAAGTTTTTTTGTTTTTATTATCTTCATCATGAATGATCGCGGCCCAAAAAGTTTTGAAAACCAAATATTATAAATTTAACATTTAAAAGCGTCAAAATCAAATTAGACCTAAACAGAACAGCACAATTAGACTAAGGTCAACTTTACTCGAGGAAGTTGGAACCTTTGTTTATATACATTACCAAATTTATATACAGAAAATTTTCAAAAAAAATGTTTACCCCATATTAGTACTTAGGCATTGGCTTCTGGCTGAATGGTTCCCGCGTGTTAATGATTTCAATGTGTTGGTATACTAACTTTTGGTCAGATTGTCAAAGTACTACTAGATATAAAAATGTTAAGTGACGATAAAATAAAAACTCTCGTGTATTATTTTTGCCAAACTTGGCTCAGAATAATTAGCCAAGTATCTTCTGAAAGGAGGAAACACATATTTTTCTATCATAGGAATGACGGGATCTTATTTAGCCTCATTGTTATCTGTCAAGTTTGTCGAAGTCCAATTACAACGAAACGATGCATCTGTGTAGATAATCTCTACTTTTACTTTAACAGAAATTCGTTAGGAAGATTGCCTACAGTTACTTGAAATTACCTGCACGCTTATAATTTTCTACTAGTCGGATAAGGGATTAAAATTAGAATATATATTGACATTTATAATTTACTGCATTCTAACTACATTTTCCGGATATATTAAACATCGATTTCCCACATCGGCTTTAAAACTATTATCCTCAATATTTTGTCCTATATAATAACACATTTATCTTGTGATTAAAACTCGTAGTTTGATTCAATTACAACCTGTGGTCTCTTTGTTCGTCGAATAATCATACGAAGTGTAAGTAAATTATTTGCAATTGTATACTCCACAGGCGCTTGGGGAATGGACCCCCCTTTTTCCATCTTGTTTTTTTTTTTATTTATTGTTCAAGTTTAATGTAAATGTGTTCTTGCTCTTATTCAAATGATAATAACAATATATATGATGCCCCTCTATTCTTACATGTACTTTATGTACTTTATTCTTACATAAGCAACACGACGGGTGCCACATGTGGAGCAGGATCTGCTTACCCTTCCGGAGCACCTGATATCACCCCAGTGTTTGGTGGGGTTCGTGTTGCTTAGTCCTTGGTTTTCTATGTTGTGTCATCTGTACTATTATTTGTCTGTTTGTCTTTTTATTTTTGGCCATGGCGTTGTCAATTTGTTTTCGATCTATGAGTTTGACTGTCCCTCTGGTATCTTTCGTCCCTCTTTTATGTACGAATATGCCAGAGACCTGCAGTTGGATCAAACCACAGGGACTCCGCTAGCAGATTAAAAAGTATTATTTACGTATTTAACGATGGCATCAATATTTCTTTTATTTCTAGCAATGTGCAGTTTACTATCCACATCCGTATACAGAAAAAACCTAAAGGGATCTAAGTCGCCATCAGTATACGGATGTTGATAGTAAACTGCACATTTCTAGAAAAAAATGATATATTGATGTCACCGTTAAATACGTTAATACAGTAATAAAAATAGACAGGAAATACTAAAAAAAAATAAAAAAACATTGATTATTTATTTTTATCTGCTAACAGAGTCCCTCTCTCAATCCAGGAAATCCTCTTAATTTTTTGACACATGCAATGCATTTAAATTAACACAGGTATGTTTATCCTCAGAGAAAATTTTTGTATTTTGTTGTATTAACACGGCGGCATGTTTGACGATTCCTTCCTGATGAACCTTTGAAAAATCTGCTAGGACTGTCAGGAGAACTGTCTTAGAACAGTATGTAATCGTGGGAAAAGCATAATTGAATTTTGGAAAATAACCCAACATACTCAATTTGTCACAACTTGAGATGGTAGGCAAGTCCTTTCGTTCCAGAACTGTCAAGGTATATAAGACCCCGTTCACACTAGGACATTTAGATCGATTTAAACTAGATCGGTTCACTTTAGATCGATTTAAGGGCCAATGTGAACGCGTTGGTTTTATTTAGATCGATTCAAATTAGATCGATTAAAGAAAAATGCTAGTGTGAACGGGGTCTAAGTGTTATTTGGTGTGTTCTTTGTATGACTAGTTTATGTTTACCTAGTAATATAAAAATAAGATGTGGTACGATTGCCAATGATCGAGACAACTCTCCAACAGAGACCAAATGACGTAGAAGTAGGTTCATGATGAATGGATGAATTATATTGGGAATGTTACATTGTAACAACTCTAGGTTCAGCCTCCTATCGATAACGGACGTATACGTACCTTTCTATAAAGGAATTCTTCTCACAAATTCACCTGCCGAGGGGGTTTGTTCACGTTTCTCCAACTTGTATTTTTTGTCGAAACTGCGATATTTGGTCCGTCGTCAACGAAACTTGGACAAGCAAATTGGGATTTTTTTTTCTTTTTCCGTAGTTTCCTTATATTACGAGTTGTTTTGACAGTTTACATGGTTGAAAGTAAGATACAGTAGAGGAATTTAGTTTATTAGACTTTAAAAATTTTGTCAAACGTTTATAGAATTTTATGCCTGAACTTTGTAGACATGCGGGGACAACAGCATATTTGTTATGAAGGTAGAAAAGATACTTTGCAACATTAGGGTCTTTGAAGCTGATGTAAAACGTGTTTTATAGACCCATTAAGTTTCAAATTCTGATTTGTATCAAAGACATGACATCCGTAACCCATTCCAAGAGAGTATCTACGTCTTCCTTTTATGTTTAGCCTATTGCCTGGTATAATTCCTTGATGAATCCATTAGTAAGTTGTGTTTCCAATTTATGGATTAAGGCTCGTAGTATTTGGGCTCTTTGGTTAACACATTTCTGCAGAGAAGATTTACTGACAGCGGTCAAGTCACCAGTAATGACGTGGCCAGCCAGATAATATATGAATGGAGAACTATAGCAGAGATGCAATCAGGAGGTTAAGACTTGATAAGAACAGACTGATCTTTAAGAAGGTATTTCCGATTGGACTGATTAATGAAGAAGGATCTTTGTTAGCAAAGGAAAGTTTTAGGAAGAATCGTTTCTCTGTTTCATTTTTTCCAATGCCAATATGTCACAACAGGTTCTTAACATGCAGTTTGAAAGGCACTCTACCCATACGAGGTATGGGATTTAACGTCACCCTTCCAATCGGACATGGTTGCGTATTTACACAACCCGCACATTATTTTTCTGTTGGATGAGAGTAGTCAAGCTGATCAGTTTTCAGTATCCTAGTCACCATTCGAGTTTACATTATTTTAAAGTTTTAAGTCGGTTTGCTTAAACCAGTTGTTGCCATGATACGGGTTATGTTCTTCTCATATATTTTATGATGGTATGATACGAAACCCCTAACGGGAGGTATTGTGCTTGATTTTCATATGATGAAGACATAATCTTTCAATCAGTTTAATTGAGGTCTGGAGCTGGCATGTCAGTAACTGCTAGTAGTCCTTTGTTAATTTATGTATCATTGTCATTTTGCTTAGTTTCTTTTGTTACCTATTCTGACATAGGACTCGGACTTCTTTTAAACTGAGTTTTATTGTGCGTATTGCTGTGTATTTGTTTATTCTACATTGGCTAGAGGTATAGGGGGAGGGTTGAGATCTCACAAAACATGTTTAACCCCGCTGCATTTTTGCGCCTGTCCCAAGTCAGGAGCCTCTGGCCTTTGTTAGTCGTGTATGTTTTTTTAATTTTAGTTCATTTATATGTTTTGGAGTTTAGTGTGACGTCCATTTTCATTGAACTAGTACACATTTTGTTTAGGGGCCAGCTGAAGCCTACCTCCAGGTGCCGGATTTTCTCGCTGTATGGAAGACCCATTGGTGGCCTTCGGCTGTTTTCCGCTCTTTGGTCGGGTTGTTGTCTCTTTGACACATTCCCCATTTCCATTCTCAATTTTATGTTGTGAAAAAAATGTACCATTTATGCACGTTAAAAAAGTTTTCCTAAAAAATTAGTAAAGAAACATGCAATCATTTACTGCTAATTGTATACCAAGTATAAGTTTTGTTTTATTATAGATATATAGACATTTTTAAATGCCCCTTTCTTATTGAAAACCTCGTAAAAATTTACAATAAATATTAACAAGTTACAGATAATGAAAATTATACTATGCAGCTCTCACTGTACAATGTCAATAAAATAATTTTGATGGTTGTTTAAGCAACAAGGTTACATTTTGTTTGAAACGAGTTGGATAACCGTAAATAAACGTGAATAGATTGTTTTAATACTTGGAGAAACCTAAATTAATCGCTGATGATGACAATAGTATTATTACTACTTTCATGAATATTGACCATACATTTCCGCCATCATGTGATAATCAGATGTCTTCTGCATTTGATTGAAAAATCATTGCTACTCGATTGGTTGTCGCTTTAATCAAATATCTCATTTTGCTGATGTCTGGTTCTTACAAGCTCATACAAATTTATTTTTTTCCACAATGGAAATATATTATTATATATTTATATTCATCAATTACATGCAAATAACAAATAGGTAAACATATATTCCACTTTTTGGTTGTCTTTTTGTTGTTCGTCACCGTACTGGAAGTTAAAAACTATCGAGTCGAAACGTTTTTCGACGTGGTAATTTGGAAATTTTGTTGGATAAATTTAAAGATTCACAATAATGTTTGTCTTGTTTTTCAGACAATGGATAAATCTGAACTCCCACACGGTAAGTCTGAATATTTACTTCACGATTAGCTATTATATACATATATGTATTAGATTAAAATTAAGATCTATTTTGTTACATCTGTGATCCGTTTATTGTGCAATCGCCATGGCAGTCAGCAGGGTTTAAGAACATCCGTTGTTCGACCTGCTCGTCAAATGCGTTTTGTTAAAATATACTTTTTCACTTTTTGGTCTTTTGGAAAATGTTGTTTGTGCTGTATTTAGACCCCTCTACCAAGAAATTTGTTTTGCATGCACACGTATAAAAATTGCGGTTTTTATCCAACGCAATCATAGGTTTGAACGTTGATTTCAATTTAGACCTGTTTATATTTTTTCGTTTGGGCTTGTATTATATTTGCCTTCGGGTTTATATGATCCGTTCATCCTATTTGGACTCTTCAAAATTCAAGAGTCAATCCCAAATTGAGGTAAATTATATGGCCTTCCAAATACGTTTCGATTCCTAACATCACTGAAGAGACATTAATTGTCGAAATCCGGATATGGTGTACAAATTTTTGCACCTCATGTTTGCAGTATACCATCTTTTCCGCAAGTTTTTTTGTTTTTTCTATTTGGTATTAGATTAAAATTAAGATCCATTTTGTTACATCTGTGATCCGTTTATTTGGCAATCGCCATGGCAGTCAGCAGGGTTTAAGAACATCCGTTGTTCAACCTGCGAGTCAAATGCGTTTTGTTAAAATATACTTTTTCACTTTTTGGTCTTTTGGAAAATGTTGTTTGTGCTGTATTCAGACCCCTCTACCAAGAAATTTGTTTTGCATGCACACGTATAAAAATTGCGGTTTTTATCCAACGCAATCATAGGTTTGAACGTTGATTTCAATTTAGACTTGTTTATATTTTTTCGTTTGGGCTTGTATTATATTTGCCTTCGGGTTTATATGATCCGTTCATCCTTTTTGGACTCTTCAAAATTCAAGAGTCAATCCCAAATTGAGGTAAATTATATGGCCTTCCAAATACCGTTTCGATTCCTAACATCACTGAAGAGACATTAATTGTCGAAATCCGGATATGGTGTACAAATTTTTGCACCTCATGTTTGCGGTATACCATTTTTTCCGCAAGTTATTTTGTTTTTTCTATTTGGTATTAGATTAAAATTAAGATCCATTTTGTTACATCTGTGATCCGTTTATTTGGCAATCGCCATGGCAGTCAGCAGGGTTAAAGAACATCCGTTGTTCGACCTGCTAGTCAAATGCGTTTTGTTAAAATATACTTTTTCACTTTTTGGTCTTTTGGAAAATGTTGTTTGTGCTGTATTTAGACCCCTCTACCAAGAAATTTGTTTTGCATGCACACGTATAAAAATTGCGGTTTTTATCCAACGCAATCATAGGTTTGAACGTTGATTTCAATTTAGACTTGTTTATATTTTTTCGTTTGGGCTTGTATTATATTTGCCTTCGGGTTTATATGATCCGTTCATCCTATTTCAACTCTTCAAAATTCAAGAGTCAATCCCAAATTGAGGTAAATTATATGGCCTTCCAAATACCGTTTCGATTCCTAACATCACTGAAGAGACATTAATTGTCGAAATCCGTATATGGTGTACAAATTTTTGCACCTCATGTTTGCGGTATACCATCTTTTCCGAAAGTTTTTTGTTTTTTCTATTTGGTATTAGATTAAAATTAAGATCCATTTTGTTACATCTGTGATCCGTTTATTTGGCAATCGCCATGGCAGTCAGCAGGGTTTAAGAACATCCGTTGTTCGACCTGCTAGTCAAATGCGTTTTGTTAAAATATACTTTTTCACTTTTTGGTCTTTTGGAAAATGTTGTTTGTGCTGTATTTAGACCACTCTACCAAGAAATTTGTTTTGCATGCACACGTATAAAAATTGCGGTTTTTATCCAACGCAATCATAGGTTTGAACGTTGATTTCAATTTAGACTTGTTTATATTTTTTCGTTTGGGCTTGTATTATATTTGCCTTCGGGTTTATATGATCCGTTCATCCTATTTGGACTCTTCAAAATTCAAGAGTCAATCCCAAATTGAGGTAAATTATATGGCCTTCCAAATACCGTTTCGATTCCTAACATCACTGAAGAGACATTAATTGTCGAAATCCGGATATGGTGTACAAATTTTTGCACCTCATGTTTGCGGTATACCATTTTTTCCGCAAGTTATTTTGTTTTTTCTATTTGGTATTAGATTAAAATTAAGATCCATTTTGTTACATCTGTGATCCGTTTATTTGGCAATCGCCATGGCAGTCAGCAGGGTTAAAGAACATCCGTTGTTCGACCTGCTAGTCAAATGCGTTTTGTTAAAATATACTTTTTCACTTTTTGGTCTTTTGGAAAATGTTGTTTGTGCTGTATTTAGACCCCTCTACCAAGAAATTTGTTTTGCATGCACACGTATAAAAATTGCGGTTTTTATCCAACGCAATCATAGGTTTGAACGTTGATTTCAATTTAGACTTGTTTATATTTTTTCGTTTGGGCTTGTATTATATTTGCCTTCGGGTTTATATGATCCGTTCATCCTATTTCAACTCTTCAAAATTCAAGAGTCAATCCCAAATTGAGGTAAATTATATGGCCTTCCAAATACCGTTTCGATTCCTAACATCACTGAAGAGACATTAATTGTCGAAATCCGTATATGGTGTACAAATTTTTGCACCTCATGTTTGCGGTATACCATCTTTTCCGCAAGTTTTTTGTTTTTTCTATTTGGTATTAGATTAAAATTAAGATCCATTTTGTTACATCTGTGATCCGTTTATTTGGCAATCGCCATGGCAGTCAGCAGGGTTTAAGAACATCCGTTGTTCGACCTGCTAGTCAAATGCGTTTTGTTAAAATATACTTTTTGACTTTTTGGTCTTTTGGAAAATGTTGTTTGTGCTGTATTTAGACCACTCTACCAAGAAATTTGTTTTGCATGCACACGTATAAAAATTGCGGTTTTTATCCAACGCAATCATAGGTTTGAACGTTGATTTCAATTTAGACTTGTTTATATTTTTTCGTTTGGGCTTGTATTATATTTGCCTTCGGGTTTAAATGATCCGTTCATCCTATTTCGACTCTTCAAAATTCAAGAGTCAATCCCAAATTGAGGTAAATTATATGGCCTTCCAAATACCGTTTCGATTCCTAACATCACTGAAGAGACATTAATTGTCGAAATCCGGATATGGTGTACAAATTTTTGCACCTCATGTTTGCGGTATACCATTTTTTCCGCAAGTTATTTTGTTTTTTCTATTTGGTATTAGATTAAAATTAAGATCCATTTTGTTACATCTGTGATCCGTTTATTTGGCAATCGCCATGGCAGTCAGCAGGGTTAAAGAACATCCGTTGTTCGACCTGCTAGTCAAATGCGTTTTGTTAAAATATACTTTTTCACTTTTTGGTCTTTTGGAAAATGTTGTTTGTGCTGTATTTAGACCCCTCTACCAAGAAATTTGTTTTGCATGCACACGTATAAAAATTGCGGTTTTTATCCAACGCAATCATAGGTTTGAACGTTGATTTCAATTTAGACTTGTTTATATTTTTTCGTTTGGGCTTGTATTATATTTGCCTTCGGGTTTATATGATCCGTTCATCCTATTTCAACTCTTCAAAATTCAAGAGTCAATCCCAAATTGAGGTAAATTATATGGCCTTCCAAATACCGTTTCGATTCCTAACATCACTGAAGAGACATTAATTGTCGAAATCCGTATATGGTGTACAAATTTTTGCACCTCATGTTTGCGGTATACCATCTTTTCCGAAAGTTTTTTGTTTTTTCTATTTGGTATTAGATTAAAATTAAGATCCATTTTGTTACATCTGTGATCCGTTTATTTGGCAATCGCCATGGCAGTCAGCAGGGTTTAAGAACATCCGTTGTTCGACCTGCTAGTCAAATGCGTTTTGTTAAAATATACTTTTTCACTTTTTGGTCTTTTGGAAAATGTTGTTTGTGCTGTATTTAGACCACTCTACCAAGAAATTTGTTTTGCATGCACACGTATAAAAATTGCGGTTTTTATCCAACGCAATCATAGGTTTGAACGTTGATTTCAATTTAGACTTGTTTATATTTTTTCGTTTGGGCTTGTATTATATTTGCCTTCGGGTTTATATGATCCGTTCATCCTATTTGGACTCTTCAAAATTCAAGAGTCAATCCCAAATTGAGGTAAATTATATGGCCTTCCAAATACCGTTTCGATTCCTAACATCACTGAAGAGACATTAATTGTCGAAATCCGGATATGGTGTACAAATTTTTGCACCTCATGTTTGCGGTATACCATTTTTTCCGCAAGTTATTTTGTTTTTTCTATTTGGTATTAGATTAAAATTAAGATCCATTTTGTTACATCTGTGATCCGTTTATTTGGCAATCGCCATGGCAGTCAGCAGGGTTAAAGAACATCCGTTGTTCGACCTGCTAGTCAAATGCGTTTTGTTAAAATATACTTTTTCACTTTTTGGTCTTTTGGAAAATGTTGTTTGTGCTGTATTTAGACCCCTCTACCAAGAAATTTGTTTTGCATGCACACGTATAAAAATTGCGGTTTTTATCCAACGCAATCATAGGTTTGAACGTTGATTTCAATTTAGACTTGTTTATATTTTTTCGTTTGGGCTTGTATTATATTTGCCTTCGGGTTTATATGATCCGTTCATCCTATTTCAACTCTTCAAAATTCAAGAGTCAATCCCAAATTGAGGTAAATTATATGGCCTTCCAAATACCGTTTCGATTCCTAACATCACTGAAGAGACATTAATTGTCGAAATCCGTATATGGTGTACAAATTTTTGCACCTCATGTTTGCGGTATACCATCTTTTCCGCAAGTTTTTTGTTTTTTCTATTTGGTATTAGATTAAAATTAAGATCCATTTTGTTACATCTGTGATCCGTTTATTTGGCAATCGCCATGGCAGTCAGCAGGGTTTAAGAACATCCGTTGTTCGACCTGCTAGTCAAATGCG